TTCTTGATAACATGGTCTGGGTTGCTATCATATCCTGGTGTGATATTATGTCTGCATGCTTATGTTAGCATGACCATATGCGACGTATGTCGGCATACCTTGCATTTTTTATTCACGTGTATTATCGTACTATATACTTACATGCTTCTTGATAATATGTTTTGATTTGATAACATATCTATTTGGTTATGTGGCAACTTGTTTAGAAGCTTACCTTGACTGTCTTAGCGTATGATATATGCACATTTGCCTTAGTACATGGTACCTGCTAGTTATTTTAGTATGTGGTATATGCTTATCTTCCTGAGTATATTGTATGTGCTTGTTCATCTTAACATGATTATATGCAGCATATCGTCGTGTTTTACGTTCTTCTCCTGCATACACTGACATGTCTTACGTAATTTTTACTACTTGTGTAAGTAGATAGTTTGTTGTTATGTTGTGTGCTAGCTGTTTGCTTTCATGTCTAGTTTTAACATCGTCTCTCAGGATCTGTTGTATCCCTTGGATGCATTCTTGTTTCACGAGTTTCTTCTTTGGATAGGAGAAATTCATCCTATAAAGACCCATGTCGGGAACCTTCTTATCTGTGTTCTTGATTGGGTATTTTGGGACCTTAGTATGTCTGTTGATGCAAGTAAGGCTCATGTAAACATAGAATCGCAGTCTTTGTCTGGTGAAGTGAGACGCAGGCCAGGGAGGTACCGTTTCATTTCCTTTTCCTTTGTGGCTTTATGACGAGGTCGGGGAGTGTCATGGGTGTTTTGTAATGTAGGAGCTGCTGGCTCTACTTACACTGTGGATCTAAGGCCTTAAGCGTAGCAGTGCTTATGATATGGTTGTTAGAGTTTTGGGATTAGCCAAGATGGTCCGGCCGAACATCATTGGACCATACCCCACTCTCACAAAGTGCCTGGTTTCCATAGTGCTTTTGGTAATGATCATTTCCGACATTGATGTCATCTGTATCAATAGGTTTTCAGAGTTGACCTGGTTGGGGCATGTTATGAACTAGTGCCTTATACTGTCATGCTACCTTACTGACGAGAATGGCTTTAGCCATGGCATTATGCCATTTGATAGATTTCATGGCTTGGGAATAAGATCTTGGTTCTTAATTTTCACTGATATTAGTTAGAAAAGCACGATGAGAATGGCTTAGATGGGATAGAGAAAAATAATTTACAAGCGGAAAATCAGTTGAGAATGAAATATGATTGCAAACATAATCCTTGAGATGACCCGATGGGTGACGATTTTGTTAAGGACGATTGTTAATGATAAGAGCAGGTGCCACCGAAGGGTAATTGGTGGAGGGAGTGTCCACAGAGATAGATGGAGAATTGGTTGAGTTATTAAGTTGAAAAGATATGGGAATAGTCACTAAAGAATCATAGGAATAATCAACTAGATTATGAGTGATAAAATCACTGGAAGAATTATCTGTGGGAACAACCAGTGGTGTAGTGATGTAATCAAATATTCCATCATCATTGATTGGAGTAATGGTAATTGAATTATTTAACGATGAAGATGGAAGATCATGATATGGAAAGATGGACTCATGAAATATGACATCATGAGAAATATAAATTTGGTGACTTTTGAAATCATATATACGATATCCCTTTTGACCATACAGATAACCAACAAAAATACCAGGTTTGGCTCAATCATCAAATTTATGTTGAATATTCATATTTTTAACAAAAACATAAACATCCAAAAACTAGAAGAGATTAATATGATGGAATAGTTCCAAGAAAAGATGATGTGATTTATTTTGAAGGATCGGAGTTGGAAGTTTGTTAATAAGAAAAGCAGCTGTGAGAATGCATTCACCCCAAAAAGAAAGAGGAAAGTTTACTTGAAATCGTAGAGCTCTAGAAACATCAAGTAAATATTGATGTTTACGTTCTACAACGACATTTTGTTGGGGGGTTGCAACGCAACTATGTTGGTGAATAATTTCATTGTCATGAAACCATGTTTGAATTTGTTTAGAAAGAAATTCAAAACCATTGTCTAAACGAATGGTTTGGAGTTGAGGAAGAAAAATGTCCCCATTTCCAAAATTGATACGAGTGATTTTCATGTTGAATTGACGATTGAATTGATTAAAAAAATGAATTAACGTGTTAAAAGTTTCAGATTTAAGTTTCATTAAATAAATCCAAGTACACCTTGAATAGTCATCAACAATAGTTAAAAAAAAAAATTAAAAAAAAAAAAAAAAAACGTGATCCATTTTTAGAAGGTATAGAGAAAGAACCCCAAATGTCAACATGAATTAACTCAAAGCAATGAGAAGAACAAGATGTACTTTGAGAAAAAGAAAGACGCGACTGTTTAGCATACGGGCAAACATCACAAACAAAATCTTTATTTGCAATAATATTCAAAGAATTCTTAACCATGAAATCAAAACAGGACTTAGATGGATGACCAAGGCGAGAATGCCATAGATCAAATTTATTACAATGCTTGAAAGAAAAAGCAGAACTAAAACCTAAATCTGCATCGAGATAAAAAAGACCATTTCGAGCACTACCCCAACCAATCTTCTTCTTCGTTGCTCGGTCTTGAAATATACATTCAGAAGATGAAAAGATTACATCATAATTTGTTGACCTTGTTAATTGTGAAATAGATAACAAATTGAATTTAAATGACGGAATGTGAAAAACATTCGTGAGAATAAGTGATGATGAACAATGAACAGTGCCTATGTGTGTCACATGTGCTTGAGAACCATTAGGTAATTGAACTGATATATTTTTATGAACAGTAGAATATGAAAAAAAAAAAAAAAAAAATGAAAGAGATGTACATATATGATTAGAAGCACCTGAATCGATAATCCAATAAGAGGATAAACAAGTAAGAGCTGTACTTGCCAAATGGGCTGATGATCCACCAGATTCCTCTTTGGCCAGAAGTGCAAGGAGCTTGTTGTATTGTTTAGATGTCAACTGACTAGCAAAAGTAGCGGAAGTAGATGATGATGACCCTGATTGAGAAAAACGGTCCTTCAAATCTGTCCAGATTTGTGCTGCAGTTTCAGCATACAGGATACTTGGACGGATCTCAGGTGAGACAGAATTTAGAATCCAACTTCCAACCAAATCATTACATCGTTCCCAATTGGAAATATCATCTTTCTCCTTTGGAATTGGGAATAACCCATCAACAAAACCAAGTTTGCTTTTTGCACGAAGTGCCATTATTACTGCACGACTCCATGATCCATAATTGTCTCCTAACAATAGAGGTGTAACAAGAACAGTAGAGGGGCTATCTGAGTGATGAATGGCATAAGGAGCTATTTTGATTAGTGTTGATGAGGGTGTTGATGATGGTGTGGTGGTGTTGGTGGCAATATTTTCGTCAGACATGGTGAAGGAACAGAAAAAAAATGTGAATATAAGGCTAGAAAATGATCTTGTTTACTGTTCTGATACCATGTTAAAAGGTGAACTCGATAAAGAGAGGAAGAAAATGTATTGTGAGTGTATATTTCATTCACTTGCCGTGTAATATATATAGGCAGGTTTACAAAATTTAAATATACATAAAAATAGGAAACTAACAACTCTGTTACAGTAACTAAAGCCTAAACTATTGGTCTGTTTAACCACTCTATTAACTAAAGCCTAAAAGATTGGAGTGTTGAGAACTCCTAATATCCTTTAAATCCCCTCTATTCAATCCATATCGGCCCTCTGATCTAGCAACTCTACATTCAAATTTGTATTCGATCTTGCACCAAATATTTTTTCATCATAGTACTGTCAAAAGGCTTTTCCAAATTTGGAGTGGGCATTCGTGATCGAACTTCTCAATTAATAGAGATCGAGCATGGTGTTGCTCTACATCCGATCCTTGCATGAATTTTTTTTTGAATTGCATGTAAGATTGAAACCCTTACAAAAGAATTTTTTTTTTTTTTTTCAATTGCATGTAACATCAGTTCAGCGTGCTTCAGTCACGACGACCAACAGTTCCGACAAATTTTGTGAATAGCTCCGGCGAGACCAGTGACCTGGCCAAACCAAAAAGTTAGTTCGGCGAGCCGCATCCCACACCTACAAGCTTCACTTTTAGTTTAGTTTCAATGTGTTGTCCATTGAGAAAAGTAGGAAACAGATGAGATGCATCAAATAAGGCAAATGGGTTTTTTTTTTTTTAAGTTATTAATTTAATTCTAAATAGGAATGGAATAGCCATTCCACTAGTCTAAAAGTGGAACGGTGATTCCAACAAAATGTTGGAATGAGCATTCCAGGGAATTAGTTGGCATTCTCATTCCACTTTAAATATGGAAAACCAAACAAGGGAAGGGGAATCAGAAAGTGGAATGGGCATTCTATTCCCGCCCATTCCACCACACCAAACACGCCTTTAAGACCTAGCCTTTCTTTTCTTTTCCTATCCCTCCAAATCATCCCTATTTAGACATTATCAGTGGCTTTATCAAGACTTTTCATGCCAGCTTGAGCTGATTTTGAACATGAGTTCAATTTAATTTCTTAAACGAGCCAAGCCGGACCGAAGCTCTTTAATACCATGACAAGTTCGAGCCCAATTAAGCCCAACCTTCCCAATGGAATTCCACACCCCCACGCCGACAGCAGATCTGACTGGCCTAGCTGACCATCCCCCTCTTTCTCCTCCCCAAATTGACATATCTTTTTTTAAGAAAAAAATAATTATCTTTTTTTACAAAAAAAAAAGAAATATGAAGTAAAAAATTCACAAGTAATGGAAATAATTCATTTATTAGGGTGCTTCTACAGACTTAGATGCAACCTCATCCAGGATATTATTTTACACAGTTTTATACCATCATCCACTTCAAGAGATATAAGATATTGAGTGAATCGGGACCATCCAAACACAAAATAATAATTTTTTTCCAAATGACATTATTTGATGGGATAGAAAACGAGAGAGAGAGAGAGAGAGATGATATTTAATGACTAATGTGTTCGTAGTATTTGTTAACTTAATATAATATTTAATGAATAAATATGTATTCGATAACTTTATACTTAAAAATTTAGTTTTAGTTTAGATGGGTTAAAATTACTAATTAAAATTTAAAAAAGTATTCTTATTCAAAAAAAAAAAAAATAAGCAAACAATTTCCAAGTTTTATTACTTAAGTCTTAAAATACAGTTATTAAATTCGTTTTAATTCCATTAATGATAAAGCATTTCTTATAGTTTTCTCCCTCTACCTGCTGTTTCCTTCCCGAAGAGTGCTTTGTCCATTGTGCAGTTTCCTTTGTGCAATAACATTATACATATCCAAACCTGGGAAACCAAAGAGTTGTTTCGGCAACTCTTGGCCTAACCTGTATTAAGTGAATTACAAAAGTACCTTTGTTTTTTTTACAAAAGTACTTGACCTCTGTATTATTTATAGTCCTGATCAGTAGTAGATGACCCATATCACTATCAACATCAATTTGGCCATTGAAAGGGTCTACAATTCTCTGTTTAGGAGAAAATATGTCCTCCTCCGGGATGGATGGGAAGCTTCCTATAACCAGGCATTTCTTCAAGGTCATGATTCTTGGTTTCCGCACAAAACTTGTATCTCCTCTCTCTCTCTCTCTCGATATATATATATATATATATATTTATATACTTGAGAATGTGTTTGTGTGTGTGCTTATGAGTATGTCTATGTTTCTTTCTCTATCCCTGTCTGTGTACATTTTCAAATAGTGTAGATTTGGGTGATGCCGCAAAAGGGTGCAGATGAACTGTTTGTGTTAAGACTTCATTCACTGAAATGAGCTTTATTGGGGGTGCTTTTTTTGGTTGATCTCTTGGCCTCAATTTTGCTTGAAGCAGAGGGTGGTTGAGTCTGGATTTAGCTTTTTGTCTGGCCTCTGGATTTGGTCACTTGATTGGCTTGGGTTGATAATCCTTTTGTAGTAGCTTGTTTCTGTCTTGGAGCTTTATATTTTCATTGTGCTATGTTGATTCATCCTCTAGGCATTGTTTTGTAGCTTTTCCTTCTTGCTGCTATATTTCTGAGCTGCCTTTGGGCTTGTTTTTGTTTTTCAAATTTTTTTTTTTTGGGGGTTTTTCATTCTTGACTGGTGGACTTGTTCTTTGATTGTGGGGTGTGCCCCATGTAACTCTGTAATGGGTTTGTGTCTATAATATAATTCTGCTTGCTTATCAACAAAAAAAAATCCCCAAGGAAGAAATTTATCTAACCTAATTATGAAAACAAGTAGTGCTTGTTAAACCTATATAGTGAAAGGGACACACGTGATGGTCAGTTCATATATTTGTGCATGATGGTCAGTTCATATTTAGTGAAAGGGACACACATGATAGGCGTTTTATACTTGTATGATACCTAAAATGCAAGTTTTTCACCCCTAAATATTACATTTGTGTAGCGCATACCATCAGTTTTCTGTAGAAAACTACCATATGGAATGAAATTGGAAGAAGCAATTCTTAGGAGCTCCAAAGGATCATGGCATGTTAAAGTTGGTAAATGCAGCAAAGGATTTATCTATTTCACTGAGGGCTGGAACAATTTTGTGCAGCACCATAGCCTTAATCTTGGAGATTTTGCTGTATTTGAGCACAAGGGAAAGATGCATTTCGATGTGTATGTGTTTGATAATAGTGCTTGTGAGAAAGAGTTTGTTCCCGTTGCTGGCAAGAAAAAAAAAGAGGTTCCTGTGAAGTTGGCTCGTGGGACAATAAAGAGAGAACCAGTTGCTCTTACGAAAGAGTTTCCCCTGAAGTTGGCTCATGGCATAAAAAGAGAATCTAATGGAGTGAGCATTCCTCTACATGCCAAGCGTGTTAAAAGTAAGTTCTATCTCATCTATTCTAGTGATCATGAAGTATAATAAACTGCGTGTGTGTGTGTGTGTGTGTTTGTGAAAGTTGAAGTGATTCAATCTACTAGCTTGCATGAATTAGCTATATTCAACATTGAGCACCTGGATGTTTTTACTCTAGGAATGATGTGTACCACTGGGAAAATAGGCTATCTGTGTGACCCTGAATAAAAAATTGAAAAGCACTTGTTGGACCAAAAGAAGGCCACACGTGAGGGAGCGTGTTGGCATGTTAAGGATATAAATATTAAAGTTACATCCTCTCTAACAGCTTAAACTTTTGGAGTAAATTTCTGAAAAAAAAAAAAAAATAAGCTTTTGGAGTAGATAGTTGTTAACAAGGTGAATTGTGTACTACTAATCACTCATTTAATATATATAGGACTATGTCCTTTGAAACCATGAAGTCATATTTTAGAATGAGCAAAATGAAAGAATTGGAGGAGTAAATAAAGAGAGAAAAAAACAAACATAAAGAAGTAGTTTTTTAGTTTTCCATCCTGATCAGGTTATTTCTGCAAATGATATACCCATGTAGTTTTAGGTTCTTACTTTTTAGAAAGAAAAAAAAAAAAAGGTAGTTTTTAGGTCCCTTTGGCCAGCACCATAACATAAAAAAATGAACAGTCCTTTGAATGACTTGCTTTTGACCCATCCTTTGGTTCCTTTTTTAAATGGTCAATATCACAAAGTAACCCATTTTACAAAGTGCAGTTATTATGTGTCCCTGTCATTGATCTTGGTATAGAAGTTGATTGCATTATGGGGGCTTCTGGAATTCTTTTTGCTAACATTTCTGTTTTACGTCATGGAAGCATGAGTTGTAGATGAGGATTTGAATCATTCTTGCAACAAAGATCAATTGGACATTGGTAAAGTTTACTATTGTTTTATTTTAGTTTTTTATGGGATTTGTTTAAAACTTCGGCTACAAATTTGTGAGTCTGGTTGAATATATCTGCGATTGCTTGTATGTGTATAAACATTGAAAAAGTAATTTTTTGTTGTGATATTTATGCATTTGAACAAAACCTTTTTTTTCCCCTCTAAACAAGTCTTTCAAATATTTTAGGTTTATAAGATATATAGTATTAAAATTTCCATGAGAAAAACTGAGGGTTAGTTTGTGTTTATATGGACGTGGGACCAAATTAAAACACTCTTTCCTCATTTTATCTCAAATCTGCTTCTTTAAGAAATGGTTTACTACTTGAAACCCTTGTTATGTTTCTTCTATCTATTATATTTAATAATAGAGATATTGCATGATTTGGAGTAATCCAAGAGATGCCTAATGTGTGTTTAAAGATAAAATGATTCCTATCAATGCATTTAGAAAGAAATAGGCACGATTCTGCAAGTATTTGAGTTTTGATATAAAATGTAGATACGATAATGGCACGTCTACCCTGAGAAAATATTTATTCTTAAATAGGTTTAAAACTACTCGTTCTTGATACTTCGGAGATTTACATAGAGAATGGAATATGTTCACTGAATATGATGGTGCTACTTTTGACAGCCTTGTGCGAGGGACTGAAAGAATCCTAATTTGGGAATCGTAGGATTAATTATTATTACCAACTTTAATCTTATTAACTGTGTCGGGAATGATGGGATGCTCACTATGTCATTGTAATCTCTTTAGGTGAAAGGCCACTTGAGGAAGCTGCATCCAATTCCCCCAGAATTTCCCACTTTAAATCAACAATTAAACCGTCCAATGGGATACACCATCGAGCTTATATGGTGAGTTTTTACCTCTTGAATCTATTTATTTCAGAGTCTCTCTCTTTGTTTATTTGAACAGTGTGTGGCTGTGTGCAAAAATTAATTGCTATTAGTCCACATTGTGAATTTCAGCAACTTGCTTGTGTCAATTATATTCCTCAGAAGTGGTATGAACAAATTTGTGTTTCATCTTTCTTTTGGTGCATTACAGAATGTCCCGCTAGAATTTATTAAATCAAATAACCTCAGTCAGATCTGCAGCGTTACTCTCCGAGATCCTTCTGGAAAACTGTGGCTTGTGGAAGTTCGATCCCGGAATTCATCCCTAAGAACTTACTGGTACCTGGCAAATGGTTGGCATGAGTTTTTTGTTTCCCATAAGCTGAAAGAAGGAGATGTTTGCGCCTTTGAACTCAATCATACAACAACAAGAGCTAAAAATGTCTTCTTGGATGTTCAAATCTTTCGGGCTCCAATCTAAGCACTCCCTGCTTTTCTAGTACTTGATTATGTGGTTTTGCATTTTTCCTTTTGGTACTTGGGGGTTGTGTTGGTTGATATTAGCTCTGACTTTTTAAGGTGGTTGTGGAAATTGTTTGATGTTGGCGGTTCTCGTACTCTTTTGATCTCTAAAAATGTAGTCATTTTTATTTTTTAATGTGGTTTCACATTATTTTTTTTCTTGCTTAATGCTTTATGGTTTTAACCAAGCATGCAGTGTTACAAACTTGTTCTGATAATGGTAAGTTGTTGTTTTGAGTTTTAAATTTTTGTGCAAAATAATATCCCTTGGTCTATGTTCAACTTTTCTGCACTTTCATTCGAAGGGTGTTTTTAATTCATAAATTCTCATGGTTAACAATAAATTCCCACCGTACCCAAAAAAAAAAAAAAAACAATTTCTCACCGTCCCACTATTTTGTGAGAGTATACCACTCACATAAAATTGTTGGATATGGCTGGACGGTATATCATTTTATATAATATTATAAACTTTTGCATGCACAAAACATTTCCTAGAAGCACATATATATAGGGCCCGAAGTATTCATGAATAGGTCCATTCATTTTCAGCCAGCTCCTAACATTGTTATTACAATGTAAGTTGATGTAATGTCAAAGACAAGACTATCTCTCACTCGTGCCATAATCCAATGCTCCACTTAAATTAAAACTAATAAAATTGTGTTTGTTTGTTTGTTTTTTTTTTTCCCCCTTTTGAATTACAAGAGAGGTATTATCATCCATTACACAATATTATTATTATTATTATTATTATTATTATTATTATTAACTTTCAAGGGACACAATTTTTGTTGGTAAGCACAATTTCTTTTAATTATTTTGAAAATTTTTCTTATTAGCTAAATACTTATTTAAACTTTATTTTAATTTCTCTCACCTCATTTTCTTTTTCTTTTACTTTTCATCTTGGATCGAAAGAAGGATTCCATTAGGTGTGGCTGGTAATTGGGTGGGTTTGGGCAAATTTTAGACTGACATTAATGGACGAATCAATAGTATATCAATAACCCATTATCAACTCATCTATAATGGGTGATAAAAGTGTTGTGTATTAAATGAACTAATTAACATACATCTAACTCAATTACCGAAATATTTTTAAATGTAATATAAAAAAATATTTTTATATTAAATTTATTAATTATTTGATCTCATTCAGTTATAATTTTTTTTCCTTTATTTTTTTATTATTTATTTTTTTTTGGGAAAAAGTTATTATACAATTTATTTTTAGAGTTGTCAAAAAAATAAATAAATAAATAAATAAATAAAAGAAAATGGAGGAGAGAAAAATGGAGAGAAGAGAGAAAAACAGGGAGAAGAGAATAGGAGGAGAAAAACAGGACAAAATAATAATAATAACAGGAGAGAGAAACGGAGAGAAGAGAGAACATGAGGAGAGAGAAAAAAAAGGGAGAAGACAGAGAAAGGGAGGACAGATAAAAACAAGAATAGAAAGAGATAAAAACTTATTATTAGTATAATTATTTTTGAATAACAATAAAAAAAAAAAAAAAAAAAAAAATGAGAGCAAACAGAAGAGGGAATAAGAGAGAAGATAAAGGAAAAAAACAGGATTTTATTGATTCATTCACTTAAATTTAAATATTTAAATAATTTAATCTTAATAAACTAACTTAGCCAATTTAATAGATTTGGGCTTAAATTGATGGCTACATTCCATATCATCCTTATCCGGTGGAACATCTGTTATCCAAAATTTTGACAAATGGATTTGTGTTGTCTATTGAGAATAATATTTAGGCTTTAAACTGGTTTTTGATGTGCATGAGGACCAAACCATTTTTAATATTTTTATGAAAATTGAAGTCAAATTGGACCCTGAAAAGTACTCCGTATTTGCAATCGAACCAAACTGACCTGTAACTGAAATTTTGGTTCCGTAAGTAAGCAAGAAAGGGCAAAAGTGAAAAAGCATTGATAATGACCTCGTGGGATGGATGTCCAGTTGGATCCAATTGCGCTGTAAATACCCATTTGGATCTTCTTCTCTATTGCAAGAGAGTCGTCAAGAACCGTGGAAGCACATATCACTATTCCACCTAAACAATTAAGCTCTCTGGGTGTGGTGCGATAGTTCAGCAGTATGACACGTTCGGGTTGCGGCAAAAGGTTCCTGTTCGAATTCCTACTCCATCACTCGTTTGCTTTAACTTCTAAATAAATAAATAAGCCCTCTTTTGTCGTGAAACACACGTCTCAAATACGCGCGTAATGGTATACCTCCATGTAGGGGTATTAATGGTATTATGTCAAAATGAGCTAGTCTGCATCAACATGGACCTGCCATCCCTGCACGGGTTAAATCCAATCCAATCGAACCTGTCTACTTTTGTTTACTGTTTAGAGCATTGTTCATATATACGTACCTGTGTGTATAATATACGTAGTGTGTGTGTAGATATATATATATATATATCTCTTTTTCTGTGTGTGTTTTCTCTCTCTTCATAAGTATGTAATTTTCACTGCCTTTGAAGAATTATTCGTTCTGAGTACACATCTCCAGATGTGATTAGGAGAGTGTATGTTAGGGTTTTGTACAAAAATAGGTTTGAGCAGAGTGTGTGGACGGAAACAAGAGAGATGTTGAATGCGAAGCGGCCTCACTTTCTTGAGGCTTTTAACTCTTCTTTAAGCTCTCAGCTTCTGGTAATTTCTTCTCTCTTCTATTTCCGTTTTACCTCCTCCTGCTTTATTGGTTTTTTTTTTTTTTTTTTTTTTTTTTCCTTCAATACAAACATGCATTAGGTTTTTTTATTTGCAAGAAATTGTTCTTAAATTTTAAGCATAGATTGGAAATAGATGGAAAACATTTTTAGAGATTGGTTGTGTGCATGTTTTGACTGTTTAGTGGCACTATACGGTTTTCATAATTAAATTTATTTGTAGTAGAGAAAGCCAAGTTAGGCATTCACTATACTGAATTATTGTGCCATTTGGTGTCCATTTATCACACAAGTGTTATTCTTTTAACTTTGTAAAACAGGTAGAGAAACAATGAAAAAATAAATAAATAAAAAGTGTTATATTGTTATTTCACTAATGCAAATTAATTGTGGAACAATGCTATGCATTTCAATGCTGAAAAATTAGAGTTATATGTATAGTGTTGTGTGTGGTTCCCAAAATTGCTTACTGAAGTCAGATGACCATCAGCTACCATCTTTTTTTTTCTTTAAAAAAAGAAAAAGAAAAAAAAGTATCAGCAATCACCATTTTTTCTTCTCCAGTTCTCCCTCAAACATTGCCAAGAAAACATAAGAAGAAAGAAGTTGGAGTTATTATCCTAGAGTATCCAGTCCAATGCGGTTGTAAGTTTTTTTATTTATTTTTATTTTTATTTTTTTTTTATTTTTTATTTCTTCTTCTGAATTATTTCAGATATTAAAAAGTGCATTAGAAAACTATGACTAAATATTTCAGAAAGGAAAGTTGAAAATGAGACAACGGTAGTAGCCCATTGTTCCATAAAGACTCTACCGTTTGGATAACTTCTCTCAACAATATAGCATACTGTGTTTAGAAATAGGCTGCTAGATATAGGTTTGCTAAACATTGTTTAAGCAATGTGGCATGCTAGAGTGTAACTGCTGAAATAACTTTGGTCGATACGTAAGTGAATAGAGTAGTAACAATTGGTCTTCTGATCATCCGTATCGTTTCTTGAAAGTTAAATGCCACCTTATATATTTCATAATCTGCTTCAAGATTATTGGTCTTTAATTATATTAATTTAAGGGCAAATTTCTCAAAACCTCCAAAACTTTCAAAAAATGATCATAAAACCCCAACAATATAACAATGTTATCATTTTACCCCAACTTTGTCAATTGGTTGTTAAGGGTATGTGAAATGACTAAATTATCTTTATTTATTCCCTTTTATTTAAAAAACCAAAAAATCATATTTTTGAAATTACAATATTATCCTTTAGCACAAGCCCAACATTTTTCATTATTATTGATATATTAACCCAAACCCAATCCTTTTAGCCCTGTAATTAAGATAGCCGGAGAAGATGAGGTTACGAAAATTCTCTCTCTACGTCTATCTTCATATATACACATAGATAGACAAACATATTATCTTACTCTTTCTCTCTCCACAACTCTCTTTCTTTCTCTCTGATATAAGAAATTGTCTTCAAGAGAATTTTCAACATACCATCTGCGAATTAGAGAATTCTCTTTCAATAAGTCATCATCACTTTAGAAATTGATTTTCTCTTTGGCAACGAGCAGCGGCGCAGTCCGACATCAACCTCTCCCTCCCCGACGACGCCTTCGATGTCGTCGTCCTCGCCAAGACTGCCCTCGATCTCGCCTGCCCTGCCGTCCTCGATCTCTTGCATCGACATCATAGCCGTTGCTACTCGCCTACCCCGCCGTTGTTTCCTTCGCCTAATGCACCGCCGTCTCTTGGTGGTGGTGTTGTGCTTGTGTATATATATGTCTGTGTTTGTGTGTGTGTGTGTGTGTGTATATATATATATGTCTGTTTGTGTATATATATATATATATTTATATTTATATTTATGTGTATATATAAATGTCGCCACTGCCACCACCATCACTGTCCTCTCTAAAACGTCGCCGAAATATCGCACAACAGTCCATAGGTTCTCAGTTTGTCTCTCCAAAACGTCGCCCAAATATTTCTGTTGCAGAGGGAAATCAGTGGAAAGAGATGGTTTCATTTTTAAAATTTTCTGTAATTAAAAAAATAAATTTAAATTTAACGATTCAGTAATTCAAATCCCATTTAATTAATGAAGGCGGTTAGATAAAAAAAATAATAGTGAAAAGCAATTGCTCAACTTTTAAGCTAGGACTCAAAACAATTACTTTCTTCTTCAAGGTGCCGATTTTAGGCTTCTGAAACACTGTCAGGCATGGAGGAGAGAAGAGATGCTTGGGGGTATTTTCGGTCTAACACATTTAAATACACATCACTTCTTTGGCACATGTGACAGTAGGGGTATTTTCGTCACAAAAGTCATTTTGTCAAAGCATTTGTTAACCACGCGCTGGGTTAACGGGGCCAATTGACAGAGTTGGGGTAAAATGATAACATTGTTATATTGTTGGGGGTTTTTAAAACTTGTTGGGGTTTTATGATCATTTTTTGATAGTTTTGGGGGTTTTGAGAAATTTGCCCTTAATTTAAAGTATCTTGTATAGTCTTTTGGTTGAATTACAATGCATTGCTGGATGGTGACACAAATCTGGTGCTTCTGTTACAGAAAATTCCTTCAAAATTCATCAAACATATGGGAGGCACAACATCTGGATCTGTTTCATTAGTGGGTCCTAGTGGGAGTACCTGGCATGTTGACTTGATTCAGCACAGTGATTGTTTATTCTTTCATGATGGGTGGGCAGCGTTTGTGAAAGATCACTTCATAGAACATGGTGACTCATTGGTTTTTAGATATGATGGTAATTTGCATTTCACTGTGCAAGTGTTTGACAAAAGTTCGTGTGAGAAAGAAGCTGCATTTACTGCCATATGCAGTCAAGATCCAAGTGTCTCTGATAAACATATGGGAAGGAAGAGAGAAGGAGAAAACAGAACTTCCTGTTTGGATGACATTATTGAAAGCATTCCAAAGAAAAGGAGAGGTTCTCAAGTCCATGTGGAATGCATTACTCTAGCTAATATTTATCAAGCAGCCGCACCCAGTGTAAGAGAAAATTGTGACAGTGTATCAAAGAACAGTCTCACCTTAGCTATGCCCTTGCAATCAATAATGCTCACTGAAAACTCAGGTAAAAATGCTGACAATTCATCCATTTGGGTTTTACAGAAAGTAATTGGCTTCCAATATAAGAGGAAGTTATGTAAGCCACCAGATAATTTGTTTTACCATCTGACCAACTGCTTGCAAAGATGTAACTATTTATTGGGAGAATAAAACTGGGTGTTGATGCAAATGCACAGTGTACTTAAACTCATGTAACTTTTATTTATATGACTTTCTCACATTCCAATATGTAACTCAAATGAGCTTCTGAAATTTAAACAGAGGTAGCCGTTCCAAATGGAACCAACAAGGAAGATGAACTAGTCTCATGTGCTAGCGGTTGTATGCCATTGTTGTCAGCAGCTGAAGCAGAAAAAGTAGCCCGATCATTTACTTCATCTTTTCCCAATTTTGTGAAAATAATGAAAAGGTTCAATGTCGGTGGTTCATATACTCTGGTGAGTACTTTCCTTTTGCTTGTTCTTAATTTAAACTTGCATATTTTTTTCTTATAAAAGGTCCATGTGTTGTGTGTCAATTGATTGCCATGGTAAGATTCATTTCTGCCATAAATTAGTTCATGGCTAAGAGATCAACTAATTTGAAGTAATAAATGAGTGGAGTTGTTAAAGTTGGCCAAGTTTATCTATTATCTGTGCATCCACACTTTAAAAGTCTTTGCCCATATTCATTCTTTGTTTTTTTTTATAAGTAAAATGTATTAAAGAGCGTTCAAAAGGGGAACGCGTCCCAAACTATACAAAGACAAAACGAAATCTATGAACTCAAAGAGCTCATGAAGTCAACAATCTCCTCAAGAGAGGAGTAATCTCTCCCCTGACCCCAACAAAAAAGGGTACAAATAATAGAAAATTTCAGCATCCCAATAGAGGACTCCTTCCCATCAAAAGATCTACAATTCCGCTCTTTCCAAAGGCTCCACCAAATGCAAAAAGGGGTCACCCTCCAGAAGACTCTCGCCTAAGCCCCCACCCATTGGCCCCTCCAAATATCCAACAACTCCCGAGAGGTCCGAGGCATGACCCAATGAATTCCAAACAATCCAAACTCCAATTATTCATTCTTTGTTAAGCTTTATGTAATGGGCTTGATGATCTTAAGCACACAAGCACACTTTTAGGCACACTTGCAAACTCCCTCGTTCTGCTTTCATCCTTGAACTATTCGATATGTTTCATAAAAATGCCTCAATGAGTATATGCTTTTGCTTACTTTGCTATCCAAAAGTTCTTCCCCTTGATTAAGTATTTTGTGTTTTGGATCTCTCTTTTGGATTCCTTAATATAATGGATGCACCATACATCTTGTCAAACGAAGTTTTAACAACGGCTATGAGGTGCCTTGTCTAAGCCGAACAACGTGTCGGACACCAACATTTCATGGACACTCCTGAACACGTGTCCAACACTTTATGACTGTGCCATAATTTCTAAATATTTTTTATTATTTAGACACTTGGCCGACACTCGGCAACATATCCCACACCCCGTCTTATATAAAACAAACATATGGTAGTTGTAAAAACACATTGTGAACATATATCAAAGTGTCCAACCTCTTTATCTTTCGAAAATTGACATTAACACATGTAATAGTATGTAATATGAACAAAAACATAGCTACAAGGACAAAATATAGTAGTAAAATCATATATAATATAATATATTATTTTTGATATTCAAATAGCTTCACCTATTAACTCGTGTAACTTTAGCATAAAAATTATAAAGTACTCCCTCCATCCCATATTAGATGTCCATTCTAGGGAGTAAAAATTTTAAGGGGACATGCAATTATTGCATTGTACCCTTTTAAAATTACGAAGTTGTCCTTTTAAATTTAAATATATGTATTATTAAGTTGAGAGATATTTTTAAAGTTAAAGGGTAATTATGGAAAGAATGCTTTTAATTTGTTTCAAAAAGGAAATGGGACAACTAATTTGGAACATCCCTAAAAGGAATACTGGACTACTAATATGGGACAGAGGTAGTGACTAAGTTCTCTAATTATCTTACTCAGTAGATATATAGATGAAAATTATATTTATATTAGCTGTATCCGCGCCGTGTTTGTGTCCTACTTTTTTGGAATTTGACTTGTCGGCGTATCCGCATCGTATCCGTGTGACCGTGTCCATCCTTGCTTCTTATGACTGCGGTTAGTGACCTCTTTGACATGCTTCAGCTTTGGTCCACATCTTAATGGAATGGTTTTAGAAACTAAAATGCACATCATATGTATCTTGAGCTTGAGTGAAAGTTGTACCCTGAAAGAGATTTTGCAAGATTTTGCCTACACGGTTAGAAGTAGAGAACGGTCCTTCATAGTACCTCACTAACCGTTTCCACTTTCCGTAGGATATTGAGATGTTCTAAGAGCTGCACAAGTAACTGGCCTCCAATCTCAAGCTCCACTTGCTCTGTCTTTATTATTAAGCCCACTTCCTTTAATTTCTTAGTTGTCATGTCAATCTATGCTTAAGCCAGGCCAGTTTGCTTATGCTGCACACCTTTACGAACTTGTAGTCAATAGGCTCTTGCCTCTATAACATGAGGATACTGCATTAAGTGGCATAGATTGCCATGCATTAGGCGACATAGGTTGCCATCCACTGGCAACTTCAAAGGGAGTTTGGCTGGTTGAATCACTCATTTGCAAGTCGTAACAAGATTGTTACATGAAGGCGCTTGCATCAATCATGTCAGTTGGCACTTCTCTAGTTCATTAGTGCCTTAGTAGGACTGTAAGTAAACTGATTTGTTCAGAAATTGTTCGAGATCAGCTCAAGTGCAAGCTTATTTAGGCTGGTGATCAACCTCAATAATATTAGTCGTTGCTTCAACAAAATTATTATTATCCTTGATAGCACTATCTTTTTTGTAAATTTTCTCTGTACACTTTTTGACAGATGAACTCTGTTATGATAATTATGATATTTTTGATACATCATCTCCTCATAATTTGGTGGTAGGAATTTAGCCATCAATAGCCGTTTCATCTTGTACCACGACCGCACAAACAGTTTTCCGTGCCTCCTCTGGTCAATCCGTGTTTGTTCCTACCAAATTGAAGCCCATCCTTTAAGCTTGAAGGCAACAAGCGGAATTTGCTTGTTTTCAGGTACATCAAAATACTTCTTAAAATTTCTTCAACTTCCTCAAGTCAATCAAGACATCTTCAATAATAATATTTCCATTGAATGTAAGTAGATTAAGTTTTACCTGAAATTCACGGTTGTCCGAATATCTACGTTTTTTGTTGCATCTATCTCGATCACTGTATCGAAACTCCTCATCATCGAAATAATCTGCATAAGCTAAAGGCCTATGTGGATATACAGGAACATAACCCATATTCGGTTGGCTGCGAGAAACATCATCAGTGCGAACTCGAACTGCACCACAAACGTACCTGCCAATCTTTACAAAACCAATTGCTTCCCATTCTTAAGTATGTATGGCAGCCCAAGGGGCCTTCACTCTGTGATCAATGTCAACAAAATGGCTGCTACCATAACAATCAATCACCATCAGACCAGGGTAAATCAAGACTCTGATATCAATTGACGTAGCGGAAAGCTGTGAAATTGTTCACAAGGAACATGAGTTACTTTGAATCCACAAAGTAGGATACTCTGAATCCACAAAGTAGAGAAAATTCGCAAAGAATTTTGAAATATTATTGATAATTGAATTGAATTAATATAATGCTTTTTGCATTACAAATAAATAGAATAAGAAACTTGATCACTAAGAAACCTAAAAACTTGAGGAAACTAATTGCTCAAGTAAACTATAAAACACGAGGAAATTAACCTAATAACATAAGGAAACTAAAAATATAAAGAAATTACCTAAAATTAAACTGTCTAAAAATTATAAAAATAAATATAAATAGAAAATAAAACCCTAATAAAACTGTCATGCATCACATAACCACGCCCCAACCAAATTATGTGGCTTTATGCATACCCTGCAGGGTTAGGAGTGGTATAGAAAGCATAAGATAGGTTCTTTATTGACCACCCTCTTGGAGTTTCAAAGAATATTTTGGCATTGATCCATCCAACCATCATCATTCTTCTTGAGAAGATCATTAAAAGGGTTGCTCTTGCTAAGTAGCTCTTTAAAAATCGATAATAGTAATTCACAAGACTAAGGAATGGCCTCAACTTTGTCATTTTAGTTGGAGGCTACAACTCTTAGATGGCCCTCACTTTATCTTCATCCAATGATGAGCTTACCATCTTTAATCTTGTGCCCAAGAACAATACTTTCTCTTGGGCAAGTGATATTTTTCTTTCTTGATGTGACCTTGTTTTATCGTAACAATTAAACTTCATTAGACTTTTTGAGTGCTCTTCCATGGTGCTATAAAGCACTATTTCGTTGAAGTAAGCTACTGCGAAGCGGTCACAATAGGAGTGTCAAGGCTGAGGGTTTAACACCTGGTTCTAGCTCACTTTTGTGATGTTTCCTTCGTGACAACAACTTAGGCAGTATATTCGGCATGATGTCATTGCATTCTTCAAAGACAACTTGTATTTCCTTAGGCACTTTCTCTTGTAGGAAAGTACAGGCCATCATCCTAAGAAGTCTTGGCACTTCTATGAAGGTGTCATGTCCATGTTAGAAATGTATCAGATGCAGTGACTTCATGGACACTCCTCATTGACATATTCATAGTTTGAAAAAAAAAAAAATTAGTTAGGACACTTAGTGAACACATCCTGAACACTTGGACCGCTACTTATATCTCACACTATCTAACACAAGTCTTTTAACACATTATAACACAAAACACGTCTAAGAGCCACGCCCAACAATTTTGGAACAATATGAACAACGTTCAAAAATGTCTAAATATTTTCCTTAACAAAAATGACATTAAATACATGGTCACCACAAGTCAAGCATTCTTTTTTACTTTTCCATATATGACAAAAATATAATCATGATAGTAAAGTAGGATAGTATTAGCATATATATTTTATAAATAATCTTATGATATTCAAATAACTTTATCTTCTCAATTATGTAACTCTGAATATAGAGATTAAAATTTAATTAAAGTCCTAATAATTATCATATACAATAAATGGATATAAACAAAAAGAAATTATATTTAACTGTGTCCGTATTCTAAATCATGTATGTGGCTTTTTTTTACGATTCGATGTGTCGGCTATCTGTGTCATATCTCGTATTGTGTCCCTGTCCTTAGTCTGTGTTGTGCTAATTATAGTTTCCCCCTTCGTGGATCCTTGCTTGAATGGCATTCAAACAGCATCTAGGCTTCTCTTGGTTATTTGGAGTGAGTGGCACCATGCAAGCTGAACCATTTTTATGATGCACATGCAGTTGACAGGAGAAAGGCGACCTTGACCTTGCCGGAACTCCATGCCAATATCATCTACTTGTTGTTGGCCTTTAACTATCATCTACCTGTTGTTGTTGGCCATTATCTATCATCTACCTGTTGTTGGCCATTATCATCTTGTAGGCTGGTGCTGCTCTTTGGGGAATGAGAGTGCTTTCTTGTTTTACTATAGAAATATGGGACCTTTTAGTTTTTTGTTATGGTTTACAATGACTAGCCTTATTGAGAGAAGGAAGCTGGTAGCATTCATGATATATACCTTTGTTTTTTCCTTTTGGAACTTTGTCGGTATGCAGGCTGTGATACTTGGGATTTCAGCAGTTCTTTCTCCTTCAATTGGGATGAACTCACTAGCCTCACTAGAACGTGTCATTTTTACTCTTTTGCAAACTGTGCTTACTCTCAACTATGAATTACTGGTTGGTTTTGTCATGCAGAATATCCCATATCAGTTTTCAATGGAACATCTTCCCAAATGCAAAGTAAAGATTGTGCTTCATAATCTAAAAGGAGAAAGTTGGATCGTTAATTCAATACCAACTACAAGAGTGCAAACATCTCATACTTTTTGTGGAGGGTGGATGGCCTTTGTTCGTGATAATAATATTGAGATGGGAGACATCTGCATTTTTGAACTAGTGCGCAAGTGTGAAATGCGCGTGCAAATTTTTGGGGTTGGAAAAAGGGGTGTAGACTGCTCAAGTGGGAAAGCAGGTTTGAAGGGGTTAAACAATGGGTGTGGTGCTACTTCACATAAAATATCTCAATGCGTACCAAAGAAAATATCTCATAATGCCAATTTACAACGGAAAACTATGGTCGAAGTATCTGATAAGAAAGAATCTGACCATGAGAGGTTAATTAAGACTAAAAGTAGTCATGAAGCTGCTTTCTCCAATGAAAAAGTGAAACATGATAGTGCATCAAAGCGTTCTGCATACTCTCAGTCAAAAGCTTGCAATGGAAAACAGGGTAAGGGTTATGATTATTCTCCATTGAGGCACATCTATTTATATGACTCGTTCTAACGTCTTTGATTTCCTAACTCAAATGAGCTTCTGAACTACAAAACTGAAAACAGTGATCCAGACAAAAGTCAACTTTGATGAGAAACAAGGTTCTCTCAGTAAAGTTTGTATGTCAATGAAGTCAGCACCTGAAGAAAAAAGAGCAGCTCAGTCTTTTATATCCAGTCTTCCTCATTTTGTGAGAATCATGAAGAAGTTCAACATCAGTGGCTCATATACTCTGGTGAGTAGTCTCCAGAACTGAGCTATGCTCAAGCATAGTCCGCTAGCTTTGTTTTGTTTCTTGGCTTCCAGCATTGCAAAGTGAAAACCTCTTTTGTTGAATATGTAGAAAGAAATAATAAGGCCCATTGTTCCTTTTGAGTTTTAATTTATGTAAACTGTGGCCAAGGATATTTTACTATATGTGATCAAACAATTGGTTTAGTTTTTGTTAGATAGTCTCACCCACTGGATTTTTTTTTTTTCCTGAATTCACCCACTGGATTTTATTGATCAAGATCTGTTATTGCATGAGAATACTATTTTTATTTGAGTTCTTCTATATGCACGTGTAGGATTTTTGAATTTTTTTCTATTGTAATAATTACTGATGTAATAAATTTCTTTTTAAAAAAGATACTCATTACAGAATGGGGGTCTGATTGGGACTGTTTGAGCAATTCACATAATCGTTGACCTCTTGCCAATTGATTCTAAGTGGCTTTATCAATTTATTTTTAATCATAGAACCAAATTCTACCTTATGAAAAATTAAACTAATAAATATTATTAACAAAAATTAGAGGAGTAACTGAACATGTTCAATAGAGGTCTGACTCCGAGGCTAAAGGTACAAACTCACTGTCTTCAGGGAATTAGCATATGCAGGGTATATTATGGAATCTGGAACTAATAGGCCCTTGTGATGGGTGTAGTGGCACACAAATACCTTTTTCCTAACTTGGTTGAGATGTGGTCATTAGATCATTTATAGGACTTGCGTTTGTATTTTTCCTGGGACAATGATAGGCTATCAAGGGGTTAAAGCCTAACGGCTTCTCCTCGACATGAATTCACCATACTATATTATGTGTACTGTTCTCTTCCGCAGTCTGTTTTTACCTTCAATTTTAATTTATTGACTGGTTTTCAGTTTCTATTGTACAGAAAATCCCGTACCAGTTTTCTATGACAAACCTTCCCAACTGCAAAACTGAGGTTGTCCTTCGTAATCTAAGAGGACAGAGTTGGACTGTGAATTCGATCCCAACTATAAAAGTCCAATCATTACATACTTTCTGTGGTGGGTGGATGGCGTTTGTGCGTGATAATGACATCCAGATGGGAGATATCTGCATTTTTGAACTTATTGGTAAATGTGAAATGCGCGTGCACATATCTGGGCCTGGGAAGAAAGGGCTAGACTATCAATGTGGAAAAGCAGAGTCCAATGAATCAACTATTGGGTTTTCTGTTAGCAACCGCCCTTTGTTAGAAGATGCATGAACTCTGGCCACATATTTTGGTGAGTTATTGGTATTCCAACATTCTTTTGCCATTTAAGCACATGCTATCATATTTTAATTTTGTTTGGATTCTGCATAAGTATGGTTTACGCTACTAAGTTCGTGTGCCATGGTTGCTGGCAATCCATCCCATTTGCTTGCCTTATGAGTGATATATGATTCATCTTTGTTAATGTTGTTGATTAACTGTTATTGCACTTCTGGATTGTTATGAGAGTAATTTTGACTCGAATAAAACTATTATTAACAAAATTAGTGGAGCTATGTAATAGGGCAGCATATCTGATAACCACCTCATAATTTTGTTAAATTTAATCTAGTGGATGCTGACCATCTATTTGGGTTGCAGAGGATTTGGATATTTTTGGGAAACCATGAAGGTTAACGTTATCTTATCCAAAATATTGAAGTTAAATCTTATCATTTTGGATTCCTGTCCTAAGAATCCAGAGATGACACCAATCTGAAGTCCGGGCATCATTTCTAGTCTTCCAAAAACTACCAGTCTTGGTTAGCCCTGCATCTCTTTTAAGGAGTTTAGTTGGCAGCAATCTTCGTCAATGGGATCCTACTTTGGCTCAAGCTGAATTTGCATATTACCGCTTCAGGTCCTTTTAAAGTTGTTTATGGTCGAAATCCACTTTCTATCTCTTATACTTTAACCTTTCCATATCTCAAAGGTCTTCACGCAGATTCTCCCATTCATATCCTAAGGCAAAGCTTTCTATCACTAATATGTATTCTATTAAGTAGTCAGTCAGTTGAAACTCTTTTGCAAATCGCTAAGATTTGACATCAATGAATAGCTCAGATATGATCGCTTGACTAGATGCTTAACACATGCAAGTCGAACATGCTAAACGGTAAGCGTAGGGAAAGCTAACAATGTGCCTTATTTCAATGCTCGCGTATCCTTCTTCCGCTTTAGCTGGGGCCGATGTTGATGCCATATCTTTATTGTTCTCCGCCACTAAACAATAGAAATAGTACGAATCCTAAGCTATGGCACGTGAGGGGAAGGAGATGGCTATATGTCATTAGTTTTATGCATCAGTTTCTTGTACCTGATTTGCCTCTCACTTTCTAATCAAACATGATTCAGTTCAAACTTGTAAATGCCATTCTTTACCTCTTGACTTGCCATTAACTTGTTTCAACTGCTTATAGCAAATTCTTATATGATTCATCTTTGTTAATGTTGTTGATCAACTGTTATTGCACTTCTGAATTGTTATGTTGTGCTGAGCAACTTAGATTTTTTATTATTCATATTTTCAACGAACACCGATTTACTTGAAAGTTGCTCTTCGTTTGTTCTAATGGAGATATTTCCTGCAATAGTACAACATAGCATGATAGTGGTTTTTATATTTGCCCCACCTCAGAGGTTCATCAGGGCATGGTCATGGAAATTTGCTATGATTTCCTTTATATGCTCATGAATAAAAAATTCCCTTTTTCTGAGAGTAATTTTGACTTGAATAAAACTATTATCAACAAAATTAGTGGAGCTATGTAATAGGGCAGCATATCTGATACCACATAATTTTGTTAAATTTAATCTAGTGGATGCTGATCGTCTATTTGGGTTGCAAAGGAGTTGGATTTTTTTGGGAAATCATGAAAGTCAACTTTATCTTAACCAAATTATTGAAGTTAAATCTTTTCATTTTGGATTCCTGTCCTAAGAATTCAGAGATGACACCAATCTGAAGTCCGGGCATCATTTCTAGTCTTACAAAAACTACCAGTCTTGGTTAGCCCTGCATCTCTTTTAAGGAGTTTAGTTGGCAGCAATCTTCGTCAATGAGATCTACTTTGGCTCAAGCAGAAGTTGCATACGACCAGACTACAAGCCAAACTACATCTTGAAGTCCTTTTAAAGTTATTTATGGTCGAAATCCACTTTAACCTTTCCAGATCTCAAAGGTCTATCCTTCTTCCGCCTCAGCTAAGGCCGATTTTGATGCCCTATCTATATTTTCTCCACCACTAAACAATAGCAATGACACGAATCCTAAGCTACGGCACGCCAGGGGAAGAAGATGGCTATGTCATTAATTTTAGGGTAAAGGGCAATAAACCCCCTCAAACTATGCTCTCTTTAGCAAGAAACCCCCTTAAACTTTTATTTTTACAATTAACCCCCTAAACTATCACTTTTTTTGCAAATATCCCAATTCCGTTCAAATTCCGGTGAATTATCAACGTTAAAGTGGTGTGTGACATCACATAAGCTAAGCATAAATTTTAAATGGCAAGAATAACCTTATTACCCATTTAAATCGGGTTGTCTTTTGACTCGATTTAAAACCCACTCCAACTCCCAAATCTAGTCAGCTTCGTCAAAGAAACTCCTCTCTACCAGAACTCTCTCTCTTGTTCTCAAGCAGATCCTACCAGCAGATCCGATGACGGCGAAGATCAGCCGAGGAATATAACAGCAATAGATTCTGATGGTGACAGCAAGAATCAACACGGTGGCAACAAGGTTGAAAGTCTGAACTAACGACGATAAAGCCTGATAATCGGCGATCGTGATGGCGATGGTGTTTCGACGGCGAGACCCACCAACGTGCCTGTTGCAGCAGCAGTGGTTTCAGGGAAAGTTCTCTTATATGGGTTTGGCGATGATGGGTTGAGAATTTTACGGTCGCGATTGGGTTTGCCTGGTGATCACTCTTGGGGTTTTGCGATTGGTTTGCTTGTTGATCGACGACAACATATTTTTTAGATTTTGTGATTGGGATTACTTGATGATTGACAACATAATCTTGGGTTTTGTGCTTGGGTTGGCAAATTTTATAATTGGATATTGCGGCTAGAGTTTGGGGTTTTGTGATTGGGTTGCCGATGATTGCAATTCATAGCCAGAGATTGTATCGAAGGAGAGATAACACTGTGATGTTTGGGATATTTTTAGTTGCTGGCTTTCGGTGTAAATTTGCCCTGTTACTGGTTTTGTTTTGGTTTTTTTTTTTTTAAATGTTTTTCTTCTTGTGCATTTGGTTGCTTATGACTATTTGATTTTGGCAAATTTAGGGTTTCAATGGTCACTGGTCAGAGCAACAAATTTAGGGTTTCAATGATCAAAGAGATAGGGATTGTTTGGCGCGAATTTTAGCAAAAAGCACACATAACAGTAATATGTGATAAAACTTGATGTGCTGTCAATGTTGGCAAGAGGGATTACATCAGCAGACGAAGGTTAAAAAACAACAAAATGACATACCAGTTTGTTGTAAGGGCAAAATGGTCAATTCATTTTTCTGTCAACCGCTGTTAGACTACTGTCCTTAAATTGCACATTTTTAATAGTTGAGGGGGGCAATTGTTAAATACAGGGGGGTTTTGTGAAATTCTCTAATAATTCAGGGGGGTTTATTGCCTTTTACCCTTAATTTTATGTATCATTTTCTTGGTAACTGATTTGCCACTCACTTTCTCATACCTGATTCAGTTCAAACTTGTAAGTGCAGCATTCTGTTACCTCTTGACTTGCTGCCATTAATTTGTTTCTAACTGCTTATTGCAAACTATATTTTTTTATGTAGGTTTATTAGTTCTCTCTCTTTTGTTCAAAAAGCCAGTCATAGTAATGGATATTCTTTATGTGCAGGTGCAATGCTTGCATAATCCAGCTCGTTGTGCTATTTCAAATGAACCAAGGGAAGTTATTAGGACATGGGGTTGGATGCGTGTCGGTTTACTTTTTAGTTCTGCAACTCCTGTCAGGCTTGCTTCATGCTGTTGTTTCTTGTTAATAATTGTATCTAAATTGTCACCGGACTAAAGAAATTCCTAGCACCTGTTCGATATGGCAATCCTCTTTTGTACATGTAATCTATTGAAAGCGGATAGTTAAAATCTTTTCAAACTTAAGTTGTGAACCCGTATTATACGCCAACTTAAATAGCGCATGTAACAAACACACGGACGGGCCTGAGACCCATGAGGACTATGCAAGGTAGGCTTTTTTTTTTCTTTTTCATATTTATTTCCTAGAAAATTGTTAAAGGTGTCCTGCGAATGGGAAGTAAAATGGGTATAAATGTATGTAAATACTATTCAATAGTTTAAGCTTTTAGGTTAGGGAGTAAGTGCTCACTTGTTACAATTGATATTAGAGTCAGATTAGTCTTTGATTCAGTGTCACATCAATTGCTCGGTTCAAAGATGTCGGGTTTTGTCGTCCTAGGTAGGCCGAATGGTAGATATTAACTCTGTTTTTTTTTTTTTTTTTTTTTTTTTTTTCCTTAAATGGTGGAAAATAAGATGTAATTTGTAAAATTTTAGATGCAATTGCAGTAAGAGTCGTGAATGCGGTATAACGGAATCGGGCTTGTATCACCATTACATAACGAACCCAGTTATTGCAGTAGTGAATTTATTTATTATTATTATTATTTTTTTTTCACACAATGGGTTCAAAATGCACCGGTACACAATTTTTTACAACATAATTCAATAAAAATAAATGTTTAGTGAATTTTAATAATTTTTTTTTTGTTAAATTTTGAAAACCATTTAACACAAATAATGATTTATTAATGAATTTTAAGTCATTGGCGTTATTAAAAGTTTAATATATATATTCGGTATTTTTTTTTTTTTTTTTTCTCTCTCCTAAAACCAACTTTTTGCTTTAATTTTTTACAACATAATTCAATAAAAATAAATGTTTAGTGAATTTTAATAATTTTTTTTTTTTTAAATTTTGAAAACCATTTAACACAAATAATGATTTATTAATGAATTTTAAGTCATTGGCGTTATTAAAAGTTTAATATATATATTCGTTTCCACAACAAAAATCGTAATTTTTTTTTTTTTTTTTCTCTCCTAAAACCAACTTTTTGCTTTGAAATTGGAAACATTGGCAAGTTCGAAAGACGAACCGCCGAACTGTACTGGTTGTACTGGTTGGTTCCGACGTAAATTTCAATTCACATTGATATACCTACTAAATCAGATGTCAGAAGACTGGTTGTTTTCGATGTAAATTTCAATTAACATTGGTATACCGGATATCAGAACAATCAAAATTCGTATATATATATATATATATATATCATTAATAATTTACTTTCTTCATTTACTATGCTTATTTCATGTGACTAAATTACATTGGAATATATATTCAAATTATTGAAGAAAAAACATCCTTCACTTAAAAGGAAATGAGCAACTTTTATTATACCATACAATGTATCTCATTGGACCCCATCCATACCTTCGTGAGAGAAATTGAGGGGGGCATCTATCTCATTTCATTGTCTGTCACAATCTCAGCCAATCACAATTCATTTCACCTTATCCACAATCTCTCTCTCTGTCTCTCTCTCTGTCTCTCTCTCTATGTATATACAAAACTGAGATTGGATTTCTCTCATTTGTTCTCTAAAAATTCCTTCAACCACTAGTCTACCATTTCAATTCACTCTCTTTACAGCCTTTTATGTGATACTATTAACTTTAATTTACATTAAAGTTGTGTTTAACTTATAGATCCCGGCGAGCTACAAATGGCAACGGCATCAACTGTCCTCTATCCGGCAACGGTGAGCGCCACCGGCGTCGCAAACTCCGGCGAGAAAGCCCAGAAGAGAGTGAGTAATAAGGTGGTGTTCATCAATGGATTGAACTCATTTGGAGGACTAAAAGCTCACAATGGTGTGGCCTCTCTAGGCCTTCCAGTATGCACAGAACAGTGCTTTGCAAAGGTTGTCAACTCACTGAAAGCAATGGGAAGAAGAGGTGGGAGTGCACTGTCCTCCACTTGCAATGCCACTGATGAGATTTTCAAGATTGCTGCCATCATGAACGGCCTTGTTCTTGTCGGCGTGGCCGTCGGATTCATTCTTCTCCGAATAGAAGCGGCTGTTGAAGAATCTGATGACTGAGAATTTTTGTGAACATATAAGTACTTGCTTGATTACTGATTTCTATGCAAAATTATGGCAGTTTGTACTGTGTTGTTGTAGTTATTAATAAGGACTTTTAGTTCAATAACTTTGTAAACCAACGGCTATAGTCTAGTAATAGTTGTTAGCCTTCGTACGGGGCAAGCGGGTATATAAGCGTGTTTCTCTTGCCAACAAGAGAATATATATATATATATATTATGTAACCATGCGCAGGAATGTGTGGGACTCTGAAGAGCAATTTTTGATTTTTGGTGTCTGTGGGAGCTTGCTGGTTATATTAGCAAGAGAAACCTAAGTCACACAATCATTCTCAACCTCACGATCCGAGCCCTTCATACTCCACGCGCTATTATTCAAATTTTCACTGCTTATAACTTAATTCTACCACTCTCACTCTTCCACTCTCGAATTTGCTCTGGCCCATACTTCATGTGACTTGGACATTAACCATTGATAAACCGTCACAATTTTACACGAGAATTTTCATTCCTAGTAACATGTGAATATACAGAAACTTCATCATGCTGAGTACAATCCATACAGGAGTAACGATGTGCTGATCATCTCGCGAAAAACAGAGCTATAAGCAATTGTTACTTTGATGAAATCGGATGGTTGCTCTTCTATGCTGTCAGGCCTGTTTCTATTGTCCGCTGGAGGGGTAGAAAGACCAATCAAGAGAATGAGCTACAACTTGCGGTCACAAGCTTATCTATAACCCTGTATTTGCTGCATGCATAAAGTAAATGTCCTGTATGTAGATTCTACCTCACATTGCTTGCACTTGTTTTCAAAAATAAATTTCCAAGCCGGGGTGGTATGAACACTTCTTGAAGGGGAGGTCGTGAGTTCAAGCCCCGAGTGGGTCAAAATGAGAGTATGCATTGAAAATAAAATAAAATCTGGTTTGTCGGTGAGACAACACTAAGTTCATCAAAATTTCATCATGCAGACAATCGGATCTCATAAATGAGAATCTAGTTGTTCAATCGAAAGAGGCAGGACTTGGCCCAAATGAAGTCCTTGGGGTGGACTTCAATGAAGTCTTCCCGTCGCGTCTCAATCAACGCCAATCCCATTCAAGTTTGTATGGTCGCATCAGATGAGAGATGCATGTAAGTTGGAGATGAATGGAAAATAAAACTAATTAACTCAAATTTCATTGACAAATTCCAGAACTTCAACAGCAAAGAAAACCACATTCGTGTTTGTAGATGTTGAAAAAAGAGCCCAGATCAACCTTGGATTTCTGTAAATCCTACAACAGCCACCTTCAGAAAAATGTTTAATTAAAAATAAATCACCTCGCAGTTACGCCACTCTAATATCCTTCCTTCTAATGAACTCCACAGCATTTAGAGGTAATTTTTTCGTTTCTTCAGCTAGATGGTCTCTGACATGCAGAAAAGAGCTGCAAACTAATAAAAGCCATCACCAAAGAGGTGAACAATTCAAAGCCTACCACCTTCGGAAAATGCCATCCCAAGCCTCGCCTCAGGTAGCTGCAAAATGCAGAAATTTTTTTACGACGACGCTTTAGAAAAAATAGCAACAATTATCCAACGAATGAGTCTCGCAACCCAATTGTTGCCTTGAAAATACTCCATGTATCTAGTAGTTATCCATTTTATGCAATTGTGAATGTATGAAGTACCATGGGTCCTCCAAGGTTTTACAAAATCCCTATACAGCCCCAGCCAACTCTATAAATATTCTACGAGCCCTTAAACCTTTAATGTCTTGGGGTTGCACATTTATAATTGACCTCACAAGGAACACATCCGAGGTCCATCCCTGATTTTTGCTATACATCTTACATCAACCACTAAAGGGCGAAAAATGTCTCAAAACATTAAGCACAAGTGCTGATATTTAATTTTTTTTTTTTTTGATAAGTCGTGCTGATATTCAAATTGACTGGGAAAATAGAAACTAATGTTCAAAAAATGCTTGACCCAAACCCATTTTTCATATGGTCACTTTGGCACCACGTTATCACATTTGAAATCAAATGTTAGGAGTAGCTTTGCTTAGCCAAAGAAAAAAACATATGTTGTGAGATCAGTATGGCAAACCTAATTTCAATGTGCTACAATAATGTGTTCAAATTTGAAAAACATGCATGTTTTTCAAAATAATAGGCATGATGAAGCTCGATGGAATAAATACCTTGTGATCGAAGGCATTGTTGCCACTATTCCTGCACATGCATATATTATGGGAATCAAAGTCTTGGGTTTGTTTTTCCGAAGCCACATCAAAGATCCCAATGCTGCAAGGGATATACTCAACACCTGAATCAAGAAAAGGAAGAAGCTAAAACCAATGGACAAACTAAGAAAATTTTATTTTAGAAGACAGCCAAAAGAGTGGAAGAAAAATTCTTGCTCAAAATCTCAATGCCAGTATATTGGCCTAATTGAATTTCCATTGGAATCAAAAAATTATAAGAACATTATATGCAATTTTATACTTCCATGCATAAGTTGGAAGTATAAAAATGTTTAGTGCCTTATCTTTACAAAGCTGATCTCAAGCCCAAAAAAAGGAGGGGAGTTGCGTTAGGTAGCTTGACAACCAGCGTAAAACTTTTGCCAGGATCAAAATATATGAACATGCTGAATATCACCTGCCAGAGCATGAAAATTCTGAACATGATGAGAGTAATCATACCAGGTTTGCATTTGCTTCAAGGCCTTGCAGAATGTAGTCCCAAGTAAATTCTAGTCCTCTAGCGCCCACCCAAAGAGGTGCCAATCTATGCAGAACGGAATCGGCGAAAGCCCACCCTGCCAACACAGAAAAGTGGAGCCATCATGCCAAGGAAGACGAAAATAACTATGCCTACCGAACGAAAAAGCTACAGGCAAGGATTTCTACAGAACCTTATCACCTTCAATTTTCACTACTGAGCATACTTGCAGCCATTATGATTGCAAATGGAACATGGAAGCTATACATGAGGTTGAATAAATATTACCCATAAACATTCAGATCAATACGACTACAATTTTCCAATGTAATAAAAAATATCCCAATTAGTTAATTTTAATTCAAAAGAAACAATTCACCATCAATGAATGGACAGATCATCGGCCTAGAAGGGGAAAACTTCATGGAAGAGTTGCAACAAACCAACAGATTTTAAAAATAAGAAAACTGATATTCACTGATCTCAAGCTCTTTTTCCTTTAAAAAAACTTGTTTCCTTGAATGAAAAAAGTTCCACACTCATATTCACAGATCTCTAAGCAAACAAGTTCTTTTCCTTAAAAAAATAAAAATAAAAATTGCTTCCTTGAATAAATAAATAAAAGAAAAAAAAAAAAGAAAGCAACACTTTACGAAGACCACTACCATGATGATGGTACCATCTCTATTACGAACAAACCACCAGTATCCTGATTATCATCAGGATCTCCATTACCAAATACCAAGTACACTGCTACACTACATGTACTGGGCATCTTTACAGAATTTGTAACAAAGACTCACCACCACTGCCACTGTTAATGGGGGTTTAAGATGCTGAATCAGACAATGAAGGTATTATACTTGGTAAGGTGAAAATATGAAGGCCTGAGATAGGTGAAAATATGAAGGCCTGAGATAGAGAGAGAGAGAGAGAGGTCTACTGCCTCCTTGAACTGAGTTCGAGGTAATGACTTTGAGGTCATGATATGTGTTTAGACTAACAAGAAACTGACACAGGAGAAGATCAACCGGAACATGCACCCTCTTTAAAATATGAAGGCTGAGCTAGGTGAAAATAAAATCCATAGTGAGAGAGAGAGGTCTACTGCCTCCTTGAGCTGAATTCAAGGGTAATGACTTTGAGGTCATGATATGCGTTTTGGCTATGTTTTGTTCTTAACAAGTTTTTTCCCCCACTGGCCTACCCTCCATGTAAGGGCTATATGGTTTTTAAACTGACAGAGAGGAGAAGATCAAGCAGAACATGTGTTCTCTTTTCTGGCTTGACAAGAAAACATCATGTTGCACCTAAAATTGCTTGCTCAATTAGGTGGTAGTGACCAGGTATGGGCATTACTCATGATCATTGCCGCTGGAGGGGGCCTATTAAATACAATAAGGCAGCCATTTAATGCGATAAGAAATTGAAACAGGTGGTCATCACATGGGCATTAGTCACCTCAGGAGTTGATAATCTCCCTCTTCCTTCAAGCCAGGTTGAGGCTCATATAGGCTTTAAGAGGAGGCTTCATTGACGAAATTTGGACTTCAGCAACAAAGATGTACTGAGTTTTACATGTAAAGATAACAATTTATGATAAGCATAAGGGCAAAGTGAAAACAAAGATTATTGTAACACATTCGAGATTAAAAAAGGGATAAACAATTAACTTTGATGCAAAAAGTAATGGAAAAGAAACTGTTGAGATCAACCCAAGTAATGGGATAACTAAAAACTTATTCTAGATATTGAAGAAAAAGCAACAGAATTGCATATGAATTGAGGCCAAGCTTTACTTACCAAGTCCAACAGCTTGGAATTTATGATTTTGAGAGATGTTTCTGTGAGTCAATTGGGTCAAGGCAAAGTAAAGCCCAGCAACATCTATAAAGCCAATTACAGCTTTCAACAATTCCTGAAAAGTAAAGGGTTAATATTTCACTAATCGTATCTCATACAAGTTAATTTATGATCAAAGTTTAGCATTTCAAAACCATATACTGTTGCTTATTCATATAAAACAACAAAATAATTTTTCTTTTATGTTCAAAAAATAGCCAGCAAACCAAAACTTCACTTAATCCTCACCTTAATTTCCCTAAAAAGCTATGAGCTCGTCGCAGAGCATACGAACAAGAAAAAGAAAAATTATGAAGTTTGCATGGAGCATGATTTGGACCTTGTGTAATCAAGTAATGAGTTGATTATGAATCTTTATTATATTTTATTTTAAGTTAGTCGGCTGCCAGTAAAATTTATTTATATTTTCTGAAGTTTTTAGTCGAAGTGATTTGTCTTTTCTATATTTATTGGATATGCATGGCGTACCAACAGTCCATGGACCATATTCTTTTTTTTGATAAGTATCCATGGACCATATTCTGGATTAAGTCTTGCCATTTATTCTTTATATGGAGCCTTCAATAGGTCCAGAATAGCAGCCATAGTAGTCAAAAAATCTATTTTATATTGTTCTAGTCATAACCCTAGTAATATTAAGAAAACTCAGCAGCCTATAAATAACTACTCGTATATGATTTTAATGTCAACACATACAGTTTTGAGAATTTGAGATTGTGTTTTGTGATGTAGCTAAATCCTTGCGAGGTTGAAGCATCAAGAACTTTAGGCAAGATTCCAAGATTCTTTTCCTACATCTTTTCCCTTCCTCCTCCTCCGATTCCTTTTAAGTTATTAGGGTTAATTACAATGACACCCCCTGGAGTTTGGTCAAATCTCAGACTCAGAGAAATTTTGAAAATAACTTTCACTCACACCCCATGTCAGCTTTACGTCAATGACTCCGTTAAAAAGTGCGTGAAATGATTTTTTTACCCCCATTTTAATCCAAAATATCATAGATCTAAAATTACTAAAATTCCCTCACTAATTACACTGACCCCAACCAGCAACAGTACATTGAAATTTCGCCATCATCTACTATATAATCAATCTATATAAATATTAGATGTGTATGTCTTCTTGGCGCTGTATCTCTCCCCAACCTTTTTAAATCAGATGAACCACAATCAGGACTGATCTGCACCACAAATTTTTTTTCGTAAGTATGAATTAGAAAGCGTTCAAAAGGGGAACGCATCCCGCAAGCTATACAAAGGTCCTAAGGACCCACAAAACCCAAAAAATCAATAAGCTCATCAATAGATGTACAATTCTCCCCAAAACCCAACTAAAAAGAGAGCTAATAATATGGAACTTCAAAGCCTTCAAGGAAGATTCCTCCCCATCAAAAGATCTTCAATTTCGCTCCTTCCATAAACACCACCAAACATAAAGGGGAACCGCCCTCCAACACTCACGGGCATAGGCTCCCACACTGCAACCCCACCAAGCATCCATCAAATCCCTCGAAGACTGAGGCATAACCCATTAGACGCTGAAAAGACCAAAAATAAGGCTCCAACAGTCGTAGGCCACAGGACAATCCACGGACTAGTCATTCCTCTTGCACATACAACACCAATATTTGTCTTCTCTTTCTCAAATTATCAAGTGTTAAAATCTTGCCCCAAGCAACAGTCCAGACAAGAATGCCACACTGAGGGGAGCCTTAGATCGCCAAACCATCTTCCAAGGGAAATTAGAACCATGAAAGTCAAAGAGACAGCGGAACAATGAGCGGACCTTAAATCTCCCCTGAGGAGAAGGCACCCAAACCAAGGAGTCAGTGCCACCACCATCCACCTCCTATCTATACAACAACTCCAACCAACCAGAAACATCATCCATCTCTCAATCCTGAAAGAAACGCTGAAAACGCACATCCCACGTGAGCCTAATGTTATCAAGCCGATAACAGTCGCCACCAAAGCATGTCTGTCCACGGCTATCCGAAAAAGTCTGGGAAAAGAACGAGCCAACGGACGATCGCCACACCATAAATCATCTCCACCACCAAACACTCCAACGACAACGATCACAACCCTTCCACGACGACGATCAGAGCCCCTCCGCCTACGGTGGTGTCAAGGAAGACCTATCGGTGCTCAGCCAAACCATCGGCCGGAGTTATGGACTGATTTCGTTCTTGACTTCATTCGGGAGATTTCTTTGCGTCACGAATTATGGAATAATTTTCTATCTTCACCGGTAATTTGAATTTGTGTGGTGTTCATCTTCACTGGACCATGTACTTGTTTTGGTCGCTCTTTAATCCCAGCCACTTCAAGTTTTGTGATCCTGATGATGAATTAGATCTGATATATATAGATAATTTAAAGATTTTGTTTTTCGTTCCGTCTCCATCACCGTCCTCAACGTCGAAATTTCAGGTTTCTGACAAGAGACAGAGACACCGAAAACAAAACCCAGAATGCAAATATCACTGGGCATTCCTCAAAGAGCATCAAAATTTGTTTTAATTGTATTAGAAATTTAGTTTAAATGCATCGTTGTTTTCCCTCAAGAAGTCTCATAAGATCTGTGATTTCTCTTATAAGTGGCATCTGAAAGTGGCTCCAACTGTTTAAGAATCTCTCTTTCTGTATAATGATGGTGAACTGTGACTCTGTGAGTGATATGCAGGCTTATTCTAATACATTAAATATTTTTTTATCCTAGTTCGGAAATGCTATGTGGTCCAGATGGTAAGCCTCTTGAGTGGTTTTAATATGTTTAGGAAGAGCCAAGGCATTCCTATTGTTTTCCACTTTGCTGGGGTTTGTACTTGAAAAACATGGTGAATTGGTTACCCTTCAAACTTGTTTGATAGTACCTACGGTCATGTGAGTTGTATCAGAGTGAAAAACACCTTACTATCCATAATGTATATATCACAAGTTATTAATGAATTTGTTTCCTCACTTATAAGATCTGAGCAATTTGGTTCTTAGATATTTTGCAAACTTACCATTGAATGCTCATTGATATACTTACTGGTCCTTTTTTTATTATTGCATTTAGGTCTGATATGAACCGATGTGATTTAGTTAATTTTGCAAATTCAGTGTGTTTTTTTGGAATTATTTTCAAGCCAAAACGCTAATAAATTCTATAATAGCATATAACAGCAAATTGAGTGATTTCAACCTCTATTTTATCACGCTGGTTCAGGGTGCTGGGTTGTTTATTTACCTTCACCCCAATGAGTTGTCCATCAATTTGTAGCAATTGTATAACATTGAATGTTCTTGAAAAAAAATAAAATAAAAATCAATCTCCCCAATTTACTTGATTCCTCAAGGAAGACAATTGATAACCAGTTCAACTTTAAAGATTAAGACTTTTTTTTCTTTCCCCTTTTAACTCTATGGAGTCCATCATCATCTTCATTTATTTCGAATCATTTTATTTAGTCCAAAGCCATTGTCACCTTCATTTGTTTCCCCTTTTAACTCTCATTTGGATGGGTAAGACTCTGAAATTGGTCATTCCATGAGGGGATGTTAACAATATTGGTTGGTGTGGCACAGAGGAAGTCATTGAAAGAGAAAAGTATCAACATAGGAAGGGTTAGAGAAGGAAAGAAAGAGAAGAATAAAGATATACATATATATATATATATATAAAGGATATAATTGTAAAGTTACGAAGTATTTATATGGTATTTTGGTATTTATATCAAATTCTTTAGGGCTAAAGAGGTCATTTGACAAAGTCAAAGGGTATCCAAGTCATTTTACATGGTGTCAGGGCTTTTATACCATGTGCAAGTGACGGTTGGGGTGTGAGTGAAAGACAGACCAAACCTTGTGTGAGTGAAAGTTATTTTCAAAATTTCTCTACGTGTAAGATTTGGCCAAACCTCAAGGGGTGTCATTATAATTAACCCACATTATTATTCTCAAATTACTGTTCCTAGCATTAAGAGAAGGACAATGCTTGGGTCCAACCCAGGTTGGATGAATCCAACCTGACTACGTGGTTCAATCAAATTATGACACGTGTCTAAAATTAATATAAAATTAAACTAGGCATTGCCCATCAATTTTCGGGTATAACCCCCCCCCCCCCCCCCCCCTTTTTTTTTTTTCTTTCTTTCTCATCTCTCCTAAAATCTGCAGCGGCACCTTCTTTCCTTTGTCTCACCGAAGGGGCGTTTCACCGGTGTCACGCATAGCAGCGGCGAGACCAAATGAGTCTTGGACATACCCACCACTGCTCACCCACCAAACACAACCATCACCAATTACAAACCCAAACACAGCCATCACCAATTACCACCACTGCTCACCCACCAAACACAACCATCACCAATTACAAATCTAAACTCTTGCTGCAAGACCAAATTAGTCCCATGCATACCTAAATAGCAGTCCCTTTGAGCACAGACTACCGTCACCGGACTGAACTTCTCCGCCCACTCGCCATCAGTCGCTCATGCGAGTAGATCTAACGCGTTTTTCACGCGCACCTTCTTCTTCGGCGATTGCAATACAGGCTCCGAGCTTCAACTTCCATACAAAGTGACATCTTTCTTTCTCTCTCTATCCTGTTCAATCCAATCATGCATGTTGTTGCAGAGAGCTCAACAATAGCAGAATACCTAAAATACAAAAGACCCAGAAACCAAATCATCTCTAACTCAGATCCAATCCCTTCACAAATTGCCTCTATCCAATCCATTGGGTGCTAATCCTCCATTCTCTCCAACGCCGTCGGCCATAGTTCATCGGTGAAGGGGAGGAGGAAGAAGGCGGCGGCGGCGGCAGATTAGAAGAGACGAGAAGAGTGGTGGCTGCCACCGTTGGATCACCTCACCTACCATTACGGCCATCGCCATCGCCGCATCTTTCTCCGCCTCACCCAATTCGGAACTCTCACCAAAGAGAAATTTGCCGATGAATGGTGGTCGAGGACGGTGGGGTTGTGGTGATTATTAACTAATTTTTGGGTTGTGGCATTAATTGATTCTCTTGGTTTAGAGATAATTAGAGGCAGTAGGTGGTGGGTAGT